GTGCTACAATAAACTTTCTATTTCTGCTCTCCTTGACATACGCACAGAAAGGCAAGTAGCAGAAAAAGGGGTGCAGCTGTCAGCAATTCATCTTGCAGTCTAGGTTGGGAAGAAGTGCATGGTTGGTGTCAGCATGTCATTAATTCTAGGGCTTTTCTGGACTGGAGTTTTAACTGGGATATTCTCCTGCAGGACCAACCATTTCTTCAGTTACTCCAGCAGCTGTTTCTGTATGTTCCTGTGTTTCTCAGTATTGTCTTCTGACAATTTTCTGTGCCTCTCCCTTTCTGCCTAGAGGCTTCTTTCTTCTTTCTGTTGTCTGATCCCTCTTCAGGATATGATAATTGAATTGATCTTTACAGGAATGGATGGTGAGAAAAGTAGGTAAGAAAAGGAATATTAATCTTTGTATAGAGATTTGTCTGTTGTTCTTAAATGGAAAATGATCCTCTCCGTGGAAGAGACTTTGTTATACTCTCTCAGGAGCTAGGGAGCAGAATATATTAATATTATATCCATTTCTCCTTGGCAACAATGATGAAAGTTGTATTTTTCATCAGGTTTGGAATCTCTCTTCCATGGTTTTCCCCTTTGTTCCCACCACCATCTGGAAAGCTTGGAGAGAAGCATCTTCATTTAGCTTTGCAAAAAAGGCCTGATTCAGGCTTAGGCTGTGCAGTTGGCAGAAGGACTGGAGATGTTGGAGCAAGGACAGAACAAGGCAAGTCTGCAGCCTACTCTGACACTGAAGGAAAGCTGTAACTTAGAGACATGTCTTCAACAGGCAACTTTTTCAGAAAGGAAATAGAGCAACACTGGATTGCTTTTGATTTTTTTGGAAGTTTCTCTCATAGTAAGCATATTCACCCTGGTATAGCCAATCTAGCTCACTTCCCAAGATGATATAATTAAAAATTTGTTGTGCATTAATTCACAGAAATGCCCATTGGAGTTGCACCCTAATTTCCATGCTCACTTCTAGTTGTGTTTTTTTTCATGACTTTGATAAATTTTAAGTCGTGTACTGAAGATTTGTGTGATTGATGTTTGTCTTAAAAATAACTTTGAGGGGGAATAAGGGGAGTGAATGTACCTGGAGCTTTTTTGGAGGCTTTCATTTGCCCAGCAACCATGGTAGGCTTACAGTACAGTAGAATAAATCTAGTTTAAAAGTCACTAGATGATTACAGAGGTGTAACAAAATACTGCATATGAAACTTCATGCAAACATACGAATTGGCTAATAAAAGCATTGAAATTTTGTTCCTGTTGTAGACCTAAATTTGATTGTGTTAAAAAAAAAAAACAACAACACAAGAAGAGCTTAATGCATTGATGATGGAAAGGGAGACAGGAGAGAAGAGTGGAAACTGAAGCGGCTGCGCTCTGAATGGCGTTGTGCTGTCCTTCACAGAACTGCCTGTCCTGAACATCAGAAGTCAAGGGTTGTGTGCAAGTAAGTTTCATTCCTTCAGTAGGTAAATAGGCCTAACAAACCCTAACTTTAAACTGGCACAGAGTTTCATTGATTCAGCTGAGTAAAGAGCAGGCATTTTAACACCTTTCGGAGAAAAGAAATTACCAACCAAGCTCAAGAGCTGATTTATTTCATTTTCATGAGCGAGTGAATGAATTATATGTACTGGTGGCATTTCAGTGATCTTTTTAAAAGTAAATTTTGGTATAATTTGAATGCGAAGATAATATGAAGATAAAGTAAATGCACATGTAATTCTGCAAACATACCTGACAATACATTTTAGTGAAATGACTAAACCAATTCCTTTTCTCTGAAAGACATAGAAAATTAAAAAATACGAAATTTTCCTCAGGTCGCCTTAGTAAGTGAGGGAGGGAATCATATAATCACAGCCTTTGAACTTTCAAATTTAACTGAAAAATCTTGTATTAGGATTAATGAATCACCTAATGTGCAATTTAGTCTAAACTTGTAGTTTCAAATCATACAGTAAACTATTGTAGAAACTTTAAGGAGAACAAAAAATTCTGCTTGTACTAGTAGCTCTTAGTGGAGCAAAACACTACCCCCTTTATTTACTTTGTTCTCATTTTTATGTTAACGTAACTGTTTATATTAAAGATTCATGTCAGGAATAAACTCTTATTCAACGACCTCCTTAATACTGACCTTCTGCAACACCACTTGAGAGCGTCACACAGCCCATGGGCTAGCACAGGAGCTAGTTCAGTGCATGCAGAAGCACCCTTGGGTACACTTATCTTTAAGTAATTATTAGTGAGCCTGTAAATTAGTATCTTCTTTGACTGCTTCCCCATCAAGTTCCCAAGGACCAGCTACTCCATTCTGACTTTTAGTTTATGGCATCTTTTCTTCTAGCACATGGAGATAATTCATAGCAAAGTGGCCAACAGACAGAGATGATAAAGTTATTCGAAGTCATTTTGGTAATGGAAGGCTGATCTGACAGACTGGGAACCTTGGTACCTAAATTTCTGGTAATGTAGTAACTACCTGTCTGTTCTGCAGTGAGTGATACCTCTTTGAGCTGATCTCTGGAAACTGTTCTGAAACTTCTAACATGATCAGAATATTCTTAGATAGCTTTTGTGTAGTAGCTTCTAAGATAATATTTTATATAAATAATCTCTGTTGAGAATAAGTGTGAAGATAGCTCAACTACAAAAGCATCATCCAGTTCAAATGTTTATTGATCACTAAAAATTTAAAGGAAAAAAAGGTTTACAATACTATTACAGAGTGCAGAATAATATATCCTGTGCAATCCACTCGGGCTTTTTCTTCATATAGCCTATTCTACCATGATTTCCTATTTTCATCTTATTTGCACTTTTTTTTTTTTTCTTTTAACAGGCACAAGGTAGATGTTAATGGCTATATGTTACATCTGGTTTTAGATACTAAGTCCTATTGGGAAGGATGTTGTTTTTTTGTTTGTGCCTTCATAGCTACATCATTCACTGTGTATAAATATGAGAAATAGCATAAAATGATTAATGTAATGATAATGTAAGAGAGATAAAGTAACAGCATAAATCCCAGACAAACTTGCACATACCTTTAAAAGGAGTAGTGGTACAGTTGTATAAAAATGTTCACTGATTTTGGAAGCAAACAGAATCGCTTCCAGAAGACATGAGACTGCTTTTAAGTTATCAGGAAGGATGAAGGAGATGAAATAGGTTAAGTTATAACAGAGGCAACATTACCATGACCAAAGGGCGAAATAAGCTTGCTTACTGAGATAGTCACACAGTCCTCTGTTTGCGTCTTGCTACGTGAGTAATGACTTTTTATATTCTTTAAGAGCAGTGGGGGAAGTATTACAGTCAAAACAGCACTGGCTGTGTTTGTATTTGAAATGCTCAGCATAAATAGAAATTTATTTGCTTGTGACGTGTTTGATTTTTTTTACAGGCTTCGAAGAGTAAATAACCTTAACTTGACTCACGTGTGCTGCAGGTGATCATTGTGGAAGAACTAGCAGGAAGTAACTTTTACCTGCTCAAGACACTGGCTCATGACCTGCCCTGTCATTATCATCTATCATATGTTCAGCACCATCTGAGAAGTCCCAGGACCTGCTTTTTTTGTATGAGAACACAAGCAGGAGACTGAAAATGTAAGGACGAAAGCTCAGGAGTTTATGTCTGGTGTGGTGAGAGGGAATATGATGCGGGATATGGTAGAAATGTAGACTAGAAAGGAGGAGGTGTAAAAGTGGGAGGTGCAATTTCGAAAGGCCGGTGATAAGTAGGTACACGTAATAGTCTAGATCACACACTAGCAGAAACCTGAAGCCAGCCAACAAGAGGTAGATGCTATGATCTCCCAAGAGAGATCTTTTATCTTTTACCCCAGTCTCCCAACAAAATACAAGCAGCAGAATGGTAAGGAGTTAGATAAACATGAGAAACAAACCTTCTAATGAGTGACTCTCCCAATGTATGAGAGATTTGGGTGTGTGACTTAGCTATGCCGTCTGCTCTAATCCTCCCAACTTTCCATAGGCTACATTGGTGGGGTGTGGGTTCCAAAATTTTCTCCATAATCAGGAGGGCTATATTTTTCCTGCTTTTAATAAAAGCCAAGATTCTGATGTAATCACTCTGGCACTTTGCGTGAAGTCATATGAAGCTATTGGGTAATCAACGGTTAACTCATTTTTAAGCTGATCATTTCTATGACTGCAGAAATGCAGCTGGAAAGCCAGCAGAAAACAAGAACTCTAGTTTCAAGTATGAGGAATTAAACATTTAGTATTGAAGAAGCTAAAGAAGCTTTAATCAAAATTCATTGTAAAAAAAAATCTGACGACCTCGCTGCCATGACTAGCATGAAGACTATTCAGACAATTCCTGTTTGGCTTTCTTCCCCCTGTCTGCAGATTTAGGGAGACTACTGGCTTTGCACAGGGACCTATCCAGCCCCAGCACAGCACACTGGCAGGGAAGGCCTGCCAGTGTGGAGGGGGTACCAAGTGCCATATGCTAATGGATTTGGGGTTATAATGAGGTCACCTGGCCATGCTGCATACTGGAGATGGGACTGATAAAGATTCATCCCGAAAGCCTGTTGCACTCTGAAGAGTGCTACAGGGGCTGGACACTGGCAAGGATTTTTCTCCTGTATTAAACACACTTGAGGGTGAGGAGTTGTGACCTCACATGTTGCAAAAGGTCAGCTAGGCATAGGCCTTAAGGCCAAGGAAGAGAGAAAGTCTGCTAGAACTTGCTGTGCCACGAGAAAACCTGTGAAAAACAGAAATGTGAAAAAATCCAGACCTGTTTACTGTGTAATTCTGGGACCAGTGAACAATAAAGAGCAGAAAAGCCAAAGCAGAAAATAATAGGGTGTTAGTGATCTCATCTGAAATACTAGAAATGTTTCCAAGCCTTAATTTTGCTGTATTAACTAGTTTTCTTCCTGGGCTGTAAAAATAACGTTTAAAACTTTGCTGAAATTTTCTAAAATTTCATGTTATTTTAGTGACATTTACCTGAGTCTTCAGCCTGCCGAATGCTCCGGTAGAGTTTCGTGTTGGCCGTGCCGTCCCCAGCATCCTGCCTGCACGAACATTACTCAGAGTGGAAGCACAGAATTTGGAACAACAAAGTACATCATAGGACCTAGACGTGGAAAAAATAAGTATAGATAATGTTGCAATAGAGTTCTCAGTGACCCTCAGCTCAGATATGAAGAGCATTGGAAGCAGGAAGTTGCTGAAATTTCACGAGTAACTTTCGCAAAGTTTTCCTGTAAATCTGACTTTTTTCAAGTATTATTTTTATCTAGATAGTAGAGACCCATCTTTGAATGCTGCAATATAAGGGCAGGCCCCCCTGGAAAATGTATATTGTCATCAAAGGATAATTTTTTGTGACTTCTGATAGCCATTAGAAGAGAGGTTGTAGCCCAGGTAACTAGTATTAAAGTTATTAACGTCAATATAATTCTGTTTTATATAAAGGGCTGGAAGAGTTCCCCTACCAATCCCCAGCATGAAAATTGCTTTTAATAGTTGTCTTTTACATAGACAGTACAGTCCAGCTATGCGATTTTACTTTTGTTCACCCCTATTTTATAAAATAAATTATAAGAGAACAAGTGAGGCAAACCATAAGTAACCAAGGTCAGGTCAGCAGCACTCCACTATACCACCTCCATTTAAGCAGTGTTTTCATAGTAAGGACCATGGCAACTAACTAGCTCATCCCCCTTTTTATTACTTTTTTTTTTTTACAGATGATACAGTAAAGCCTAATTAGAATGTTTCCCTTCTCTTTTAGAAAATGTTTTCCCCCCTAGATTCACTTTCAAATCCTGCAAGTGAACTTTTTTCCCCCTAGATTCACTTTCAAATCCTGCAAGTGTTTGGGTTGGAGAAACAAGGAAAAATTTTGTTCAAACAACTGAGTTTGTATTCATAGCAAGAGCATGAAGAGATACAGGAGAAAATGATGAAGGCATGTTGACAGAACGTTTATTTGGACATTATTAGTAGTATCTTTTCTAAAAGGAGTCCCAACAAAATCTGCAAGTAAATAAGTTTGTGAACTGCCTACAGAATTTCGGAAACTCCATCCTCAGAGGTATTGAAATACAAACCAAGGCTGGAGCAACCTGCTCTAATGCTGAAGTTAGCCCTACTTTAGTTGGGAGGCAGGAAGAAGTGACCTCTAGATGTCTCTTCCAATCTAAATTAGTCAATGACTTTAGGCCTAGAATTAAAAAATGTGATGGAGGAGAAGGGTAGAAATGTGCAAACACGCACAGATGTACAATTGCGTAAATATTATTTTCTTAGAAAACTAAATTAAACACTGATAATTTCACAGACATGGGCTGGGAACACAGTCCTATTTCTATATATGTTAAGGGCTGTTGCCTATGGTTTTGTTAGGGCCTCCCGCAGCTGGGTCTCAAGCAACAAGACTCCGTTTCAGTTGCTTTTAGTTTGGGCAAGCTGATATTGTTAGAGCTGAAATTTCCTACACTAAATTACTTATTCAGGCTAGTGATTTTCTTTTAGGCTCCATCAAGAGTAGTTCAGTCATTTCCAAAAACAGATTAGCAGAAAGACGCATTTCTTTCAAATAAAGAAAATGCTTATAGCCATTTAATTAAAGCTGTGCTTTTTAGTAATGTGTTCGAGTTTGGCAGCCTAGAAAACCTGCACAAACTTGGCCAAGTTATGAGCGGCTGAGTTTACATAATTGCAAAAGAGATTTTTTGGCACAGTGTAGCTGGTCTCCAGTAGTCTCTTCACAATGAACATACTCCATCTCAGAGCTTCAGAGGCAAGCAGGACTCTTTGTATAAAAAAACAAGGCTTCCTGCAGGAACAGTGTGGTAAAGGCTGGAGAACAGAGATCAGTGATGCTGCTGGTAGGCAGCAGTGGAATTTGAGTAGCATGACTGAATGGAGAGCACAGCAAAGAATTAAGACAGTGTGGAGGTGAAAGGAAGGAGGAGATGTTGGGTGTAGCAGAAGTGGAAGGATTTATGAACAGTAGAGCATATTCTTGAGAACTTGAAACACAATCTCGTGCTCACTGCCTTCCCATGAATTCATAATTTTAAAAAGGTATTAAATCTTTGATCACAGTATGATGTAATGATTTCCTTTTTCTCTCACAGGATTTATGAGCAAAATGAATTCTATTCACCAAATGGACCAAGCTCCTGAAAAAAAACCCACCTGTATAAATGTCCTTATTTGAAAAAGGGAGCTGTGTTGAAATGGGGGAAGAAGATGACAAAAGCAAAAGGATGGGTTCAATGACAAAGGTAGCTGAATGCAGCCCTGAGGAGCAGAGTCCTGTCCCTGCCTTCATCTCACCATCTCACTGTGACTTGGAAAGCTCCTTAACCCAGGTTTTTCTCAAGTGACAATCACTTTCTGAGTTCCCTCCTACAAGAAATCTTGACTTTAAGTTGCTTTGTATATCTGTCCTCGGGATGAAATACTTAATGCTCCCCAAACATACTTTTCTAGTTTAGGAGTCAGCTAGCTCAGATGCAGGTTTCTCCAGATACAGTTTGAAGAAATGAGTGCCCTCTACAGAGCTTAGTTCAAAAAAGCATTGAGTTCTCACAGCTGTCAGTGTCAGAACAAGCTAGGTGCTACATGTGAAAACAGACAATCTAGGGAATGCTAAACAGTCTCTTAAAAAAAATAATCCATTTCCAGCTATCATGTACTGGACCCAAAATCATTAGGTTCTTCCAGGCTTTTTCCATTTGTAACGTAAAATTGCTATTTTCTTATCCTTCAGAACTTTTGAGAAAAATGAACTAATTCGTGCTCAAGAAGCAATTGGATACTATACTGTTGGTGCCATAAAGGGAGGTCAACAAAGATAAAATTAATTTTTCTGGATGGTGCAAGGAATGTGCAGAAGATCAGACATGGGGCCATGGAAAAGAGGTATATATGAAATACAGAATATCTGCTTTTCCTGGTTTTCTTCAGTTTTTATATATATATATACACACATACACACTAGCCAGCATAAAATCACATTTCTTATGCCCATATAACTAATTACTATAAGATACAGTGTAACTAAGGCCTTAAACCTTTTTTTATTAAATAAAAAGAATTAAAATTACATCAAATGAGTGAAAGAAAGTTGTAAGCAGCAAGGCAGTGTGTAAACCCCTATCTGATTACTTTTGCCATCACGAGCATCTGGTGTTGGTGATCACACCTGGAATCCTCAGGCTCAGAAGAGGGACCAGTGCAATCCCAGGTGGGCTCCCAGTGCTACCCTCCTTCCCGTTCCTTCCGCTGCCCGGTGGTGATCTGCTCGTGCCAGTGGCAGCCCTGAGTACAACTGGTGGTGTTAACTCTAGTAGCAGAACCAATCTAGCCTTAGGAATGTGAAACACTGTTTGATCCATTCCCTCTGCCAAGAAGTAGCATAAAGGAAAACTCCACCTAGCAACTATACTGTTACCAAAGTACACTAGCTGGGAAACAAACCATACTTTTTATTTTTCTGCCACAATCTATAAGTCTGCAAGAGTTACTGTGACTCCTATTCCTGCGTTCTTAAAAGCACAACATGTGCACTCAGTTTTAATGGGTATGCAGATGTCTGTTATTTTAATGACATTCAAACTGAGGCTACATGATTCAGGAGAGAGTCACTGCGGCTTATACAAACAGGTATAATTAGTTATTTTGAACAAGTGTGCTTATGTTGATAAGCTTTTACTGTAGGTTGGTGGCAGTGACCAGCTGCAGCTTTCAGATGTCAGGTGCACAGATTTCCATGTCGCTGCAATACCTCTCCTTAGTCATGGAAGGGAGGGTTCCTACTTTCCCTTGCAGGAAGACTGGCTGTGACACTTTGTCACGTTGCCGGAGATACCTGCAGGCACCACTGGTACAGTGCCATCATTCTTAATTAGCCAATGCAGCATTAAACAAAGCCATAGAGTTCATCCTTAATTTTGCATCATGTTGACTACAAAATGGATATGTTAATAATGTATTAACTGCTAATATGCTGTTAACTAATATTTAAGATATGTGGAGTGAAACCTTGTCAAGCGTTGTTATTCCTTTACACAAAATGGGTCTTCTACTGCCCGAGTTGTTCACAAGATCATTAGCTCAACGTACATTGTCATATTTTGTATCTGCACAAACAGGATCTGTCACCTGACATCACCGATAAGCTCAAGACCTTTCTCCAGCAGAGACAATAAACTTCTCCACACTGTCCCTCTTTTATAGCTTAAACTCTAGGGAAGAAAATTACTAAGCACTTGACATTCACAGCCTTCTGGCAGAGACTGCAGCCAGGGAAGGGTGCAGTGGGAGCCATTTTTGACTAGGGGTTTAGAATATGACAATCCCTCTGTTCAAAAATAAATTACAGCCAGAAAATTTGCTTCACTTTTATTTTTGCTTACAAAAAGGCACCCTAAAACATTTGATAAACTGGGATGACTGGTTTAGCAACTTTGCTATGAGATTTTTTTTAACAGTCACAGAGTGTAACCCTTCTAGTCTACACATACTTTTATAAAGCAGGCTTTTAAAAACAGTTCCTAAGTGAGCAAAAAAATCAGCCATTTTTTGGTAAAGAATTTTTAAGCATTGGCACTAGAGTTAATTGATAAACTATTAAACTGTTCAGTTGTAATTTATAGCAGCTATAATGGCAACAGTGTCTGAGTGATCACCCTATGCTGCCACTAAAGACATACCTCATCTGCTATAGAATGAAATACTGTAAGATGGTTTGTAATGATGCATATATCTTGCTACCTGCTGATAATAACCCATTGGCAAGGACAACAGTTTAATTATATAGTACATCTCCTGCTGCCTTCCAAATATTTCTGCTGCTCTTCACTAATTTCTTAGCTGAAAAAGAATCAGTCTTCTTATTTTAAACTAGTACATTAATTTATGAATGGAAGACAGAAAGCTTTTATTAGCTGCTTAGGTGCCTGAATTCTTTGTGTTGTCATCATGATACAAAAATCTAGCCCCAGCTGCCCATAAATCCTGATGGATGGTGCAGAACAGGCTCCAGATCAGCCACAGAGTGTGGAAGAAATCCCAGACTGGAGCGCTCACAGATATGTGAAGAATATTATCTCACAGGTGGCCCTCAGCCCTGGCCAAGTGGGATCTCTGCTTGCACTGATACAACACAGGCAGCTTAGATGAAATGTCTTTCTTTTACAGTCCTTTCAGGTTCGTTCTGAGCGTGGGGTCATAGCACCCGTCTTGGGAATGGCACTGCCCCAGCAAGAGCAGAGAAGCCTTCAGTAGGCACAAACCTTCGAGGTGGGCACCAGCAGCTAAGGTTCACCATTTTGGCACTGAAGCAGTGAGAAGGTAAATTCATCTGGGATTAATGATATAAAGTCGGAAGTCCTTTTGTCTGTGAAAGAATAATCTGTGCGCCTAGGTATTGGGGACCTCCAACATAGTCCTGTTCCTTTGGACTCTTGCTCAAAAAAGAGTTTTGAGCATATATTCTCATTCCCTATTAATAGTGCTTTTTACCAGAGTCTGGTCTTTGCAGAAGTGAATGTATCAGCTTGGTTGTTAATATATCAGCACTTATTACTGGAATGAATCCTGTCCTACCAAAGCCTGTAAAATGGGAATCAGAAATCTGAGTTGAGTGAGAAGAATGTCTTTAAATTTGGGAACTACTTATAAAAAAAATAAGATTTTTGCTTCGTACACATTTCTCTGAGTAATAAGTAGCTGATGATAAATAACTGTTAGTAGGGATTTCCATTCTTCATTTCTGAGCAATTAATTTCGAAATCCTTTTGAAAATCAGAATTATTTTAGTGTGCATGCCCAGCAAATGGACATTTGAGATGTTCTTGCTTTGCGTAACACACTATAATTTGGTGTAGAGAATTGGAAATGTATTATAATAACAGAATTGGCAGTGCATTACAGTCCTGTTGTTAAAATAACCTTTAAAGTCACTACCATCCATTATGAGTTTTTAAGTGCACATTGATGAAAAACATGAATGCAGAGGTATTTACTCTCCTGGGTTTTAGCTCCTACTGATGGTGCAGTGATGAAATGGAGGATATAGCAACAAGATCGTGGCACGTAAAACACAAGAGGAATAAAATATGTACTTCTGTGTGGCCTGACAAGTTTGTTCCAACAACTCAAGCTGGGCTGCTGTGGTTTACTGATCCCTGTTAGCAATAACACGGTGCTGGCCAGCAGAACTGTGGGCTACTTCACACCACACATTGTTTTGACAGAACAGTGTGTCTCACAGAGGGCCTCTTCCAGCTAGTGCTTCTCCCCGCTGTGCTTGCTGCAGCAAGCTGGGCTCACTGAGCACAGGGCAGGGAAACACTTGGCTGACAGAACCCTGCACCTCACATTGGAAAGTTTCAGTCAAGTGTATTACTGGCCGTGGCCTGGAAGAGACTGTAAACTGAAGTGAGAAGGAACTTTTCACTCTTCAGAAAAAATCTAGGATTATGTTACCCACACTATCCAGTTACTCCGCATCAGCCTGTAGCTCTGTCCCCTGCTACCCCTCTCTACTTTCAGTGAAGATCTAGGAAGCCTCAGAATAGATCTGACCATAATATTCTTTTTCCCAAAGAATTCAAACATTCTTAAAGACAGCAAGGTATAATGTTCCACTCTAAAGAGTGTAACATTAAGAAGAAGAAGAGTGTAACGTTAAAGAACTACCTTTATTGTGTGAGTTCACAGAGCTAAAATGATTGTGACAAGCTACAAAGTCACACCACATGTTCTTAGAGTTTACAAAGAATGTATTTGATACCTCTATTGATCGATAAAGATCATTTGTTTATACTAAATTGATCTATAGTTAAGTATCTTTTTCCAAGATAAAACAACCAAGTGGTATCTTTCTATTTATCTAGCACATGTCAAATAAATTGGTAACTGTAAATAGAACTAAACACATATTCATAACAGGAAGTGCTGTGCTATTGACTATTTGGAAGATATAGTAAAACATATTGTGATAATTACCAGGAATTTGTTCTGCAACATCAGACTCTTACAAGTAAGCAGTACAAATAATCTTGCTGTATACAGAAGGAATCACAAGGTAGTGCCTGTGCACAGTAAGGAGAGTTTCCTATTACTGGCTTTTACAGAGGTCATTTTGCAGGTTTTGATAATACAATCATTCACAAGTTTCTGCCCCACACATCTTTTTCCTTCTAGCTTTTGGTTTCGTTAGGTGAAAAGCCGTATTTTTAACAACAAACTCATAAATGCGTTTGCTTACTCAGGTTTACTACCAGCCAGTATCTCCCTGTTACACTGCTATCAGCTACAGTATCTCTGTATCACTATTTCAGTAGGATTTCATTTGACTGCAGATTTTCAGTTCCCTGCCTGAAAGAGCATTAATGCTTTTTCAAAGGTATACATTCAGATATCTGGTAAATAACTTTTCTCCCAGCTTTTTAGCTCTGCCCTTGTTAACTAAGCTCACAGCAGTATCTTTGTTTTCTCCTCATTTTTGCTGTGTGAATTTGTTAGAAAACAATGACAAATTTTCACCAGCTGGCACCAGTTCTCTGTACTTGCTGGTGTCTCTCACACAGCAGAAACAGAGAAACAGGTGAAACAAGGTTGAATACAATACTTAAACTATATCTTTTATATTTTTAATAAATCTTACAAGACGATTTAAAAAAAAAAAACACCCTTAAAAAATTGGAAGCTATGCAGCATGACTTCCCTCACCTTTTTAATACAAGAAAGAAAGAAAGAAAAGCAAGAGGATGTTAAAAGTTGCAAAATACTCACGTGTCTCGGAAAAGCTGTGCAGCAAACTGGCACAGCAGGAGTTGGGATAAAGTTTGCACTGGTGACAGCGGCAAACGCTCCACCCCCTCCTCTGTTTTGTTTTACTTTCAGTTGTTATATAATAATATAGGACTATGTTTGTACCTAACGCAATGTGGAAATTATTCTCACCACAAATAGTAGGCACTAGGGATTTCCTGCTGCCATTTCTGAGCAATTTTCAAATTTGGAAACCCCCCCCCCCCAAAAAACCC